CACAAATCGCCGTTTAAATATTAATACATCAATCCACTTAATATGCGAGTTTACAGCAACGAATGATGCAATAAATATAAAAAAGGGAAAACACTCAGACAGCACGAGAAAGAGAGAGAGATCCAAAGATGATGAGCATATGCAGAAGTTAGCCAAAATATACATAAATCCAGAGCCCACTTTATGATGTGTTTTGTCGACAATATTATATGATATGATAAGACATGATATCATATATATATATGTATTATATCATAAACGAGTACACAGCGAATGTCCATTAAAGTAACAGCTCCGGCTTGTCGGTCTGCTTGGCCTTGTTTTGGCCTTTTCAATCTGGCCACAAAGCAAACAAGATTCTTATGCTGTAAGACAAAACAAATTTTGGTATAAGCGCGCACTTCCGGCAACAGAAGACGCAGAGGCAGAGGCAGTGGCCRTGTCTTTCCTTGAAGATGTGGCACAAAGGAAGTGCTTCGTTTGTTTATTTCTAGAACTTGTAATGCAAACAAAAACTTATATTTTCCAAGAGCGCTCCGCAGTCAAACCAGCGGCAAGACACAAAATATCACAAAACAATTTATTTTACCATAGGAAATATGGGAAGAGGGTATAATAGGTAATAGGTAAATTATTTGTATCTTTGTCTGCATGACTGTCGAAAATTATGTCATAGTAGACTAAATAAGATCTGCAATCCCTCCAAATTATTCAACTTCACCTCAATATAAACCACATTCCAATGTTAATCAATTTTTTACTTAGTACAATCCAGGGTATATCGCAGTTGTGTGCACTGCGAGCTCTGCTTTCATATTCTGGGGGCAGATGAGACTAGCATCGCGTTGGTTCAAAATTTAGCTGTCCAGCGAATGTGTTTTGCTGCAGAGCAGCTCTAGCCAAAGATTGAATAAAATGTTGTTGCCTGTGCGTTTGTGCGTTATGATTGCGCAAGCAGAACAAATATGCAGCCCACGCCCGCAGACGGTACATTAAACTGCCCGCCCACAAAACTGTAACTGACATAATTACGTATGCAGAATATCTAAGTGCACAACAATCTGATGCAGCGAGTGGCCAACTGCTCTCTAGCATTAGAGAGAGCACAAAAAGCTAGTTTACATATTTGCAGTAAATGAAACTATCAAGCAGATAGTAGGAAAAAATTTTGACACTTTAAATTGGCTGACTGCAAAGTGTTTTACGAGGAGCGATTACGGACTGAAGATTAAATTTCTAATACTAATTTATTTATATATTTATCTGGGGCAATTGCAAGATATAGCACTTAGTTTATGCACTGTCAACTCCTAAATCAGAGTCTTCTCGTTTCATGCATGACAAGATTTTAATTTCCACTGCAGAGGCCTGAAATTACCCCACTTACTGTCGATTAGGGCACAGCTGATGCGCAGACTTTAACGCTTATCTGGTTCGTCTGCCGCTACGCACCGTGTTTGCAAATCCAATTCAAGTTCAAGGGGGTGGCTTGTAGGCCTAATGCCTAATGGCCCAACAGCCAACAACAACAGGCAGCGTCGCTCTTTGTATTAATTTGTGCACACATTCTTGGCCAATGAGATTTATGCGCTGTGTTTTACTTTTTTTTCTCTCTACGGCTTTTGCTGTTGTTGTTGTTGTTGTTGTTGTTGTTGTTGTTGTTGTTGTTGTTACTGTTGGGACACCCACACAACAGGCACTCGGGCCACCCACGTTGTCAGCACGCTGCCAGCTGAGAGCGAAGTTCGAAAAAGGCGCGAAGCTCAAACAAACTGTTTATTTTGGTTTTGTTTTGCTTATTTTTATTCGCCTTTCATACATATCTCGGCGCACGTGTTTCGTTCGAAAGCCGCGACGCAGGCGCAGCGCAACAACAACAACTTGAGCGAAACTCGAAACTTGACGAAAGCCGAGCACAAACACGAGCATCGCCATCGCAGCCGAGGCCGAAGTGGGCTTCGGCTAAGCGAAACGAGCGCTGCGGCATTGGCTGCCAATGAAGCGAAGCATCGAGCCATCAGTTCGACTCGAAACTGCGCCGGAAGTGGACGCCAAACGTGGCCGTGTGTCAATCGACAACAACAAAGAGCAACAATACTGAAAGTGCCGTGGCAACTGTTTGTGTGTTTCGCTGTGTTGTGCGAGTCAGCAAGTAAAATAATTATAAAATAAATTAAATCAAATGTTAATCAATAATTAATGAGATGAAAGTGCATCAATTGACATGACATGAGAAAGGCCATGGAAATGTGTTTAACAGTGCGACCATAAAACGCGGCCAGGACGTAAATGCCGCAACGTCAATGTTACCTGAACTCCGCTCTGTAATTTGCATGCTTGCAAATTCATTAAAAAACAAAAGAAAAAATAAAAAGCTAAACTACAAATTCCTCCACTGTTGCTGTTGCTGTTGCTGCCCTCTCACATAAATTTCACGGCAATCAGGCAGCAGCAGCAGCAGCAGCACTGGCAGCAGCAGCCGCGTTGCAAGTCATCCAAACTTCATTTGTTGCGCTGCGGCTGCTTATGCAGCAAGCAGCTCCTTATTCCATGACTCCGCTTTGTTTCATCCTGCCCGCTGGTTGGGTTGAAATATTGCTTTCATTATTTATGTTAAGTTTATGCAACATTTTCTACGCTTTTGCCTGATGCTCCTCCTGCTGCTGCCCCTGCTGCTATTGCTGTTGCACTTTGGCGCACTTGTTTTTAATATCCTTCAGCTTGTAAAGGCATTACGTCTCCTGCCTGGTGCCGTTCTCAGCGGTAAATGCTAACCCGCCGCACTCTCATCCAAATTACGCGGCAATGGTTTTTCTATCATTTGTCTCGTTATGGTAGCTGGCTGCGCGTCCTTCCCCCAGGACATCAGCTGCTAGCTTCAATTGCTGCTTCATTGCACTAGCAGTTATTGATAGCGCTGCATAAATAAAAACAATCGCTTATCTTCTTTGCTGCACGACAGATTTGTGCTTGGCGCAGTGGGAATAAATCATATCTTGACTTATTGAAAAGTGTAACATTATCTTAGCAATTTCTTTCTCTTTTTCTTATTGAAGTGTGGTTTGATGTGCTGGAGGAAAGTTGAGCAAACTGCGGATTGATTGCTGATTGATTTCGACAGAAAGACAGAATGTAATGTATATAAATTTGTACTCGGTTGAGAAACCACTTCTGAAGTTCGTTTTATGGCTTATTAATTACCCATGAGCCATGAACAAAATTTAGCTGAATTTTCCACGTATCGATGTGTATATAAATACCTAGAGCTCAAGTCGCGACTGTTCAAATGAACCACAAAGCTGTTTTTGCTCTCCTTTCTTCTCTTCTTTTTTTGTAGCATACTTTTAAGCTACTTATGTGCTCTGCTTCTTATACGCCAAAGGCAAGCAGCCAAGGGGCACTCGATTGTATTGTTTTGCATGTCCTCCAACTGAACAAAAGGCTACAACTAATAGCTAAAACGAGCTAATTAGCTGAAAGAAATATTTGAATAATTACAAAAACACAAAAAAATGGTCTTTTGTTTATTTGGGATAGCAATTATAATGTTTAATGGATCTTTAAATGCTTCAAGCTTTTGCCTTTGTTTCTCCTCGTGCATACAAATTAACTTTTTTACTTGTATATATATATATATACTCATGTGCTTGATTTTTTTCCATGCTGGCAATAAGATTGCAATGCCGCTACTCCTGATGCTGCTACTTCTGCTGCTGCTGCATTATCCATTATCCTTTCTCTCTGTGACGTCACGCTGTCAGGCGCGATTCCATTTGCTCTGGCTGCTGTCAGCTGCCTGTCTGTCTGTGCCGCCACTCAAGATGCAGTCGAGATGACAGCCTTTTGGTTGCCATTTCTTTGCCCCAGCTCTCGCATAATTTATGTTCTGCGAATGGAATTGAAAATTTAAAGTACAATGCAAAAAAAAAATGGAAAAATGCATTTGCGTTTATAAATATATATGACTTCGTTGCTATTCCAAAGGTTGCCTTTCCATTTATATGTGTCAGAGTAGCCTTTTTTTTAGCCTTGTTCATTTGTTTTCAAACTGATTGCATCATAATTACCCAACTGACGTACCGATTTTATGCCCCCTATGCTCCTAAGTGCTTTTTAACGAGCTGCTGCTGTTGCTGGTGCTGCTGCTGCTGTGGCTGGTCTAGCTCCAGCTCCTCCTACTCCTGCTTTGTTCTGTCCATTTGGATATTTAGGTTCCCTTCCGCCGCTCTACTATATGACCCGAAAATAAATGCTGTAATTTCCAGGCATGTGCGTTTCTCTGATTTTGTCGCTATAATCTGGTACATGAACCCATAATTTGTAATTTCAACCTAATTACTTTCCCCGCTCCTGCTGCTGCTGCCGCTGCCGTTGCCGTTGCTGTTGCTGCTTCTGTCGGAGGGCGTGACGAAGGCAAAAACATTGTCGTCAGCCATAAAATGTCAACGGCAAGCAACAAAACGCCCATTTCGCCAGCAGACTTTACTTGCACACACGCACACACACACACACATACACACACATGCACAGCCAGCCACGCCCCCTTGGTTAGTCATGTGTGGGCTAGTACATGTATTTGTGGCTGCTGAAATTTGTGGCGCGTCATATGTAAATTTGTGACAGATGTTTGGAGGTCATTGAAATTGATTTTTAGTTGGTTTTTTTTTTTTTTTTTTTGTTTGTGTGAAGAATAGAAATTAAGACATTAGTTGAAATGCCATGAAATTCCTGAAGAATTGATTTATAAATGAGTGAAAGGAAGTGAAATGTAATTAAGAGAAATTAAGGTAAGGAAGAGGTATAATTAAAGTATGAAAAAAAAAAAAAAATTCGTGCTCTTAGTTTTCAACTTGGACTGGTATCAACTACAGAAAATGTTTTTAAATTTATTTATTACCCCTATTTTCGGTGCTGAGTATTTAAGCCATAGCTTGCAATTTTAGGCTTAAAAGTAATACAAAGATTTTATTTAGAAATATAATTACAATAACGGAAAATTGCATGTCTCTGCTCCTTTTAGTTTTTACATATATGATTAAATTTAGCTTTCATGTGTATATGATTGTGTAAAGATGAAAATATGCAAAAACGTACTTGAAGCACCTATCCAATAAATTTAAAATTAAATAAATCAAAACAGCTTCAGAAAATATTTTCAGAATATTGTTGACATGTATAAAGAAAATAATGTAAAGTAAAATAAAGGAAAGCAGAAACTTTAGCTGCTTGTCATTTGTATTATTTGAGCTATAACTGAAAACCAATCATATCAGAAACATATACAATTAAAGAATATTCCCTCCAATTAAATGGAAAGTATGAAAGCTCATGCATAAATATATACAGAAAATATTCAACAACTCGTTAACTTCCATGAATATGCGATATCAGTTTAATTTATTAAATATTCTTCATTTAAATTTCGCGCTTAAAGCCAATAATTCATATTTTTATGGCGCGCATCGCACAATTAAGCAATTTAAAGCGCATTATGCACTTTTATTGCAGTTTTTGAAAACATTAAGTGCCATTATTAAAGTTCTCATTTATTACATTTATAAAAGAAGCACGGCAACTTGACAAATCCTTTTGTTCTATACACTGTCAATTATATTTAATGCAAGCGATTTTTATGAAGCGCCGCTGCCTGCATTTTTCATGAGAAGCACAACAAATAGTGGGGCAAAAAATATTAAATTGCCATTTAAATAAAACCGGCGCTGAACTCTCTCGCCCTTTGTTTACTCTGGTATGTAAATATTGTGCGCGGCAGAGCTTTAAATACTTTGAATGCAACATAAAAAATGAAAGAATTATACTATTATTCGTTTTTATTATTAAATGCATACGTATAACTATATTTAAGCCAAGCGAAATCTGCTGACAAAAAAAGACAACAGCTGAATCAAATATTAATGTCTTGATGCGCCAACTGAAGTGATGGGAGTGCCATGCAACAGTCCCAGCGACAAGGGTGGATAGGAGACAGGGAAGGGGCGACAGGGGACGGACGAAGGGCGACAGGCGACGGATGCTGATATGTCATATGCATTCATAAATCATTTGCCAAAATTGAACTGGCCAAGTCACAGGGCGCCATAAAAACCCAAACGTTTCACTCAGTTACAGTGCATTTAAACGCAAACATATAAAGACAGTGTGAAAACTGGCAAAGCTATTAGTAAGTGTTGAGTAACAAGGTTTCATACAGGGGCTAAAAGGTAATCCTATTAGATTAACTATGCGAAACTCAAAGCTTGACACATGCTGATCTCTAGACAATTGATTTGAATCAGCTCAATCATTTACATTTTATATAAAGTCTTTGTCAAAAACTATCCCGCAGCTCTTTCGTTTCACTCTTATCTTTCAGGCTAAGCTTTGTCTTCCTCAAATTACAGTTTCTCAAATTCTTTTTTATGATATTCTGTAATCACCAACCTATTACAGGCTTTGATCTTAACATCATTTCACTTCCACACTATAAATTTAACAATTCGCAAAGTTTCTCTCCCGAGCTCACAAATGTTATCTAACATGAATCTCGCCAAAAATAGTGCCCACAAAATGAATGTTATAGTCACAATGTCCACTTGAAGCATGTAAATGCAATGCAATTGGAGTTGGCAGCGCTACAAAATGTAGCAATTCATGTGCAATGAAAATGTGGCCATGTTATGACAACGACAGCCGCTACAACAGCAACAACAAGCACAGCAACAACAGCAAAGTCAACCGGAGCAACAACACTTGCGTAGTGGTCATAAAATAGCAACATCAATGCAACGCGTTCATTTGTATACACACACAGCTCTGGTCCGGAATAAAGCGCTATTAATAATAAATGTAGCATTGGTAGCACACACACACACACACGCACACACACACATACGTATACAGCTACATATATATAGAGTCAGTGACACACAGAGAAACAGTCAAATGAACTTTGCAAAACCGAAAATGCCAACAATAGCAGCAACAACAAGCGAACGAGTCATAACCCATAAAACGCCAGAGCTACAGTGCGTATGAGTGTGCTAGGCACACCAACACACGCACGCACACACTGGGAGCTGGCGAGTGCCATAATAATAATAAATGCTTTAATCCCTGAAATCGGTTGCGCCTCTGTGCATATCTCTTGCCACCCTCAAATCCGCTCAGCAATGCATTTTTTATTTTCAATTTTCATTGTTTCGTCTGCAGCAGCAACAACAACAACAACAACACCAACAACAGCAGCAACAACATCAACAACAATTACAACAATAACAACGCCAACAACAATGCGAATCGACGCGTCAAGTGAATTAAGCGATTTTTAAAGCTTTACGCTAAATGAAATTTGAATTGGCATCGTCCGAATATACGAATATATACGAAATATGCGCGAGTGTTCACTTGTGTGTGCAAATTAAATTACGCAAATCAAATAAATGTGAAACAGCAAAAAACAAAACAGAAAATAAATTTAAACATACACACACAACCGCAAAACAAACGTATAAAATGAACGAAAAATAAGAGTGAAGCCTACAAATGGAAATCGCCGTGAAAAACTAAAGCCCAAAAAAAGCCAAGGGGAAGGCGTGTAATTAAACGAATCGTCGCTGTGTGCGTGTGTGTTACTGTTTGCGCGCGTGTGTGTGTGTGTGTGAATTTAACTAATTCTAATTAAGCGCACAAATTGCACTGAACAAAATGTTCATAATAACGGTAATTAAACTTTTGCTAATTGCGCTCAACATATTTCCAAGCCGTTTCACAAATCGGCGGATTATGTTCCTCATCTACATGACGAACCTGGTGACCCACGGTAAGCGAAAGAATTTATTATTGAATTTAATATGTGATGTTAATTTGGTTGTCTGATTAAAAATGAAATGATTTGGCATAGAATTAATTTTAAAATTTCATGTAATTTTCTTCTTACTTTTATTAATATAATGAAGTGAGCTTTGTTAATTAAAATACCTTGCTAAGCCTATTGAGCTAAGCTTAATAACTGCAAAGTTTAAGTTTTTCATTCCAATTGCAAATCAGAAAATAAGTTCTTCATTTTGTAAATCACATTCATCAAGCAAAATTTATTAGTGTAAGATATTGATATTTGATAAATCTGAAAATCAAATGAAATATAAGAATAACAATTAAAGTAAACCAGATTATTGGCTTAATTTATTGAATATATAATAAAATCTATAGCAAATAATCCATTGAAGATATTCACATTCTGACGAGCTTTAACACAATTTAAATTTCTCCAATTGTAAAAATAAATGTTGCATACTTTTTGGGGCAAGCAAAAAAGTTTTTTGCAACATTTCTCTACAATCTATACATTCGGCAACTAAAACACATTAATTATAGCTGCCAAAAAAAGGATATGCCATGCAAATAGAAATATATATGTATATAGCTGATGCTAGTTGGTTAAGCTGSAATTGCAACTGCAACTGCAACTGCCAGAGCAGCTGCAGCTGCCGCCGGAAGTCCATGACCCGCAGGCCAAATATAATCAACGGCTGCGTTAGTGTCATTATGAAATAATTTAACAAAGCAGTTCATTTTTTGCGCCGTGTTTTATTATAATTTACTTTTTTATCTTGCCGGGAGCCGGAGCTGCTGTCGGCACGTAGTCGGTAGTCCGTGGCGGTAGTCCGTGGCCGCAGCCTGTTGAGGCATTGCGGACGTCCTTGGTTGTTGTTGCTGTTGCAATTCACTTTTGTTTTTCTATGCATTCATTACGTGTACTGTATATGGGTATGTATGTGTGTATATATATGTTCTTTAGCAGCGGAAATGGCATACAAAAGCAAAACATCAGCCCGGCTGTTAAGCACGGCAAGTGGATGCCCGCGTTCATCCATTGCCACAGCAATGCGGCAGGCTTAGGGTGTGCAGGGCGTGCTGGGTGTGCAGCTAGAGCGGGTCTTGTTATCTTCAGCACACAATTGCAGGCCCGCATGCCAACAGCGCTGCACCTGGCGCCATGAACCGCGCTGCGAACAGCAACAGCCAGGGCACCACGGACACAGACCCGGACGCGGAGCTGGCATTGAAATTGAATGCAATCTAGCTGCTGGATGCCAGCCTCGTCGTCTCGGGCAATTTGAGGTCTCATTTTACTAATTAAATTATGACTCAGCTCGACAGTTTCGACACCCAACACCTTGTTCTATTTGAAAAGCTTTGTTCGAATAGCCCCTGGCTAAAATCCTATAATATTTCAAGCTGAACAAATAGTTGAAGCATTGGGGAAATATTTTCTTGAAATTTTTGCTTTAAATTTTAAGTTTTCAAAAGATTTATATCTAATAATTTATATGAAATGAAAGTATTGTAAGAAAGATGAGCAGAGATGATATAGATATTAATTAACAATTAAATTATGTTAAATATAAATAAACTTTATAAACTATATCTTATAGCTACATTCCCTTTCTATATCTACCAGGGTTACTTATTCCTTCTCTAATTTGTTTTTAGTTAACTCTCTCTCTTGCTCTGTCTCTCTCTATCTCTGATTATGTTCGCCCACTCTCATTAGCATATTTGAGTTCTCATTTAGCTGCAGATGCTGCTCATTAACTAACCGAGTTGTCTATTTTGCTCTTCATTCACAGTTATGATGGATGAGCCACGCTTCGCACAGCCCATACCAAATGTCACCGTTGCCGTGGGCCGTGATGCCAATCTGCCCTGTGTGGTCGAGCACTTGGGCGGCTACAAGGTGAGTGCAGAGAGGGGAGGGGCCAGCAAGTGTCATAAATCGTGCGTACGCTGTGAAACATCCATTCGCCATGGGGCGCTCCAGTCGGGCAAAACTGTCTGAAATCAATTTTGTGAATTGCTCGCAGCACTCACTCACTCTCGGGCAGACTCTAATGCCGAATTGACAGCTAGAAATGAAGCCAGCTGCTGTGTCTATGACAAGCTGTGGCCTAGCCAGCTCTCTGTTGAGCAACTGTTTTAGACTCGAGCAGGGTAGAAAGAAAACTAATAATGAAGAAGTCGCCACATCATAGCACAAAGGCAACTAAATCAACAGTTTGATAAGTTCGAGCAGAAAAACTAATACGATGAAAGCCTGCTTTGTGGAGCCAACAGAATGACTAGAAAATCACTTATCATTTATCTCAGTTGCCCTGCTCGGGCCGCGCTCTCATAACAAATCACAAATATTTACTCGCCATATCAACTTCATATAAAATGCTCGCCTGCTGTTCGTTTTTCTATGGACATGCGAGTCCAGAACTCCAGAGTCTCTCTCTCTCTCTCTCTCTCTCCGTGTCTGTGTCTGTCGCTGTCTCTGTCTCTGGCAGCTTCTTCTATCTGCTTCTTATTGGACTTTCATCAACATTGGTTGCCAACGAGCTGCTCCTAGTGCTGCTGGTGGTTATTGTCGAGCTGAAAACGAGAAACTCATTGCTGTCACTGGGCAGAAAGTAAATTTGAAAAGTTTGCAGCAAAGGCGGCGGCAGGACAAAATCCTTGTCGGGACAGCATGCCCTGTCCTTGTGTCACACGCAATGTAAGCAAACGAAGCCAAACTGATGCGGCTAGAAAAAAGAAAAAGTGTATTAAAAAAGCGGAAACAGCTGTCAAGCTGGCTTTCTCTCATTTTTATTTTTTCTAGCCACTTTCATGCGTCACAACAACGCATTCATTTATTACAGCTAGTGTGTGTGTGGGTGTGTGTGTGTGAGTGTGCGTGTTGCACAATTGTATATCGATTGGCCCTTTGTAGGTTGCCTGGATACACATAGATCGCCAGATGATACTCACCATACATAGACACGTCATCTCGCGCATACCGCGCTACAGTATTACCTATGCGGACAACACCTGGCTGCTGCACGTGAACCAGGCGCACCAGGACGATCGCGGCTATTACATGTGCCAGGTCAACACCAATCCCATGATTAGCCAGGTCGGCTACCTGCAGGTGGTGGGTAAGTACCGGGCAAACAAGAACTCCATATCCCCTCCAGTTCTCCCCTAATGCTCCCCCATGCCAATTGCGTTGCAGTGCCACCCAACATACTGGACATTGAGAGCACGCCATCTTCGGTGGCAGTGCGTGAAAACCAGAACATCAACATGACATGTCGCGCCGATGGCTTCCCCACGCCCAAAATCATTTGGCGTCGCGAGGATGGCGAGGAAATTGCTGTGGAGAAAAAGAAAAAAGGTATGATTGGGGGTCGGGTATGAAATGCTCCAGCGAGGGTTGTTCGATTAAATGATCAGTTGGAAAATGGAATGGAAGTTGTTAACTATAATTCTAATATATTCCTATCCAAATATGCATATATCTAATTTACTGAAATAATTAGATATATGCATATGCTTGGTCAAGTTTATCGCTAAAATCAATTGAATTTACATTTATAAACTCTTAACTTGAGATTCCCATTTATTGCTAACTTCAATGAGTTCTCATACATCAACAACTCTTTGAGCTACCCACGCATCTATGTACACATGTCATTTAGCTGCTGTCTCATTGAAAATTCTTCATGCTCTGCACGTTTATTTCCATGGTGCGGACGCTTCCTTCCGGCAAACATCAAAAACCAAAAAATAACATCAACAACTACAACAACAACAACAACAACGGCAGTTCTGGTCTACGATGGGGATGTCCTGCCATTGACCAAAGTGAGCCGCAATGAAATGGGCGCCTATCTGTGCATAGCCACCAATGGTGTGCCGCCCTCCGTCTCGAAGCGCATCATATTGGATGTGGAGTGTAAGTAGTATAGACAAACATTTATATGTTCAAGTCGATTGACTTAAGCGAAATGAAAACTACACACACACACGCGCAGACACACACGGGGAAAGGGAAAGAGAGGGAGACAGAGGAAGAGGCACACACACACACATATAAACATTATATTGGCATGGCTGTAACACGCGCGCGCACTTAACGAGAACGATGACAACGACTCGCAGTCGCGATGGAGTATCTATGCGGCAATTCATCCATCCATCCATCCAGGCAGGCAGGCAGGCAGGCAGGCAGGCAAGAGTCAGGAGAGTCTCAGTGCCGGCTGCTCATCAATTTAGCTGCTGCGCCCCGTGACAAGCGCAGTCTTGCTAATGCACCTGATATATGGAGTCGGGCGTTAAAGTTGTGCGGCTGTTGCACGCCGTGCGCCAAGTAAACGCTTGTTAATCCTAACGAGTTTCTGCTGCCCCCCGCCTTGCCACCCCTCGCGCTGCGCCATGCCTACACATTGACAATAATTCACGTCACGTACCTGCAATAAAGTCACTTGCCGGCACTGCACGTATGACTTTGACGGCGTTTCGCATCTTTTTCTCTTTTTTTCTTGTTTTTTGCCTGCCTGCTCCTATTTTATTATGAACGGTTTGTGCGTGGCAACGGTGCACAGGTGTGTGGGGGAGGGGGCGGTCTGGTCGGGGAATATTGCGAAATACAGGT